AAGGGGGGGGGGGGGTATTCGGGGCGTCCGTGAAAAAGGACACTAAAATAGAAAGTTTTTTTCTTCCGACTGTATAATATTTGTATTCTTCTTTGGTATAACCATTTCATTCATAAAGTTATGCTGATAACATGATATCTGATATTTGCAAAGGTTAATTCCGTCGTAATTAACTTAAAAAGGAAAGGGGTCCTATGAAGGGGCAAGACAGCTGTACTCAGAGTAAAAATATTTACTGCGAGTAAATTTGACTTGCCCATATTCACTCAAAAATCAACAAAGTAGTCTCGTATTTTTCATCATAAGAAGCTCTGGAAACAACCACCGTCTGACAGAATGTTTAATAAAATATATTTTAAATATTAAATATTTTCAATTAGGATTGAAATTTATTTTGCTTTCTAGGGATTGACGATCTTCGAAGTTTTTCGTGATGTGGTGGTGTGATTTCAAGACCAAAGAAGTTGGACTTTGACCTAATATTATGAGAAGATTATTTTAGCTCATGAAAATTAATACTCAACCTCTCAAAATCGATGTAAGAGGCTTCTTGTTCTGTGAAATTAGTTTCTGGTATGAGGAAACTCCACATTACTAATTATTTATAATTGAGGTGTGACCAGCAAAATTAAATTTACAAGCTTCCATAATGGAAGATCGATATAAATCTTCGAGAATATTTTGCTAGAAAAAGTCAGAGTAATGGTCAACTGTCACTAGAAAATTCCGTTGTTTCCCCTGATACTCTTAGAAAAAGACAGTTGAAAATTGTGATCAGAAACTGGTTAAATTTTCATCGCCTGGTGTTGTTGTGAGGACCCACATTTAGCACAAATGGAACATTGACAAATGCGGTCTTTTATGTAGCTGTTCATCCCAGATCACAATTGATTAGTTTTCATAGTTGATTCTATTCCGACACTTACATGAGCGATCGTCGAAGGGATGCAGGAATCCCTTCATCTCTTTTTTGTCATGCTATGTACTTAGAATTGTTCAAAATCCTCCATTTGGGATGACTGTAGACCTCCCTGAGATTACCCCTCAATTTTTACTTGAATCGTCCTAGTGACTGTCCAGAATCACTGTTGGGTTTGCCCGAAGTCCCCTCTGATATTGTCCGGAAGCCGTATTGAGAGTGTATGAAATCATTTTTGATAATTATCTGGAATAACCCCTAGGCTAGTTCGGAAGGGAGATTATCATAAATCCTTTTTTCGACTGTCCAAAATCCCTCTGGGACTGTCCTGAATCCTTCTTGGAATTGTCCATGTCACGCTCTGGAGGGGGGTGGGGGGGGGGGGTGGTCTCTTATGATTTTGCGACAAACAATGCATTAGGTATAGGAAAAACGTCACGAAAGAGGGAAGGGGGGGGGTTAATTTTTCCTCAATTTAGCGTGACATAATAAATGTATCGCCCCTTATGTGGCTGCTACTGTTTCGTAGCGTGCTAACGGGTATTCAATAAAAAATGAGAAAGATTTCAGTGCCACCCAGCGCTCTTGTGAGAGCATCGCGACTAAGTTGCATCGCGCGGCTGACCAGGGCCCCTTCTCCAATATTCATCGACGTTTTTAATAAAAAATACTGAATATGTTGAATTTTTTTTACTGGCTATATGACTGAAAAAATTCTCATTTTTTATTGAACACCCGTTATACGAAAGTACAATTGCCTATCCATTACCGAAATATCTTCTCGGTTAAGCTTTAGTTTTTAAGGGCACCGCTTAAAATGTTGAAATACGTATTACAAATTTACAAATGCAATTACGCCCCTTTGAAATGTTGTCACTGAATTATGTGTGCTTGACAGCATCGGATTCAACACAACAACCAGGTTGCTATGTGTAAATGTTGTTGAGTAATGCGAGTTACTCAGAGTAACTCAAAATTAACTCCGATTGTACTCATGATCGAAAGCTGTCTTGCCCCAAGGGTCCTATGTAGTCCAATGGATATACACTCAGGTCTTTTTTTACACGGGGGTATGTAACGTGTAAAAAAACCTACGAGATTTTGATTTTTCAAATGCTTAAATGTTTAAAAAAAATCGGATTTTGATGCCATTTGTAATAATAGCATGGTATGGTCCATATAGACATATTTTAAAAATTTCTGTATTTTTAATTTTTACCAAAAATTGTGATTTTTTTTTAAATTATGCAATTCGATTACCTATAGCTTGAAGCGGATAATGTGATTGGAATCAAGTCGATAGGTTGTATCGTTGTCGAGAAATCGTTAAAAACGTACCGTGTAAATCGCGAAAAACCATGTAAAAAAAAACCGTGCAAAAAAGACTTTAGTGTATAGCTATTTTTTAGATATGAAGATAGGTTTTTTTTTCTAAATTAATGCGGCATCTAGGTGGTGCAAATGACAATTTTTGTTACACTCATGACCAGTACTAACCTAAGTACTGCGAACTAACTCAAAATGCTTGTCATCTGGGAGCCGAGTTCTTTTAACGGGAGCCAAACATTCAAAAGAGCTCAGAAGTCATGTGGATGGTTACTGCTTGAACCACAAGTAAAGGTATTGCCACCTACTGAAAACAAATTAATAATTATTATTATGAAACTGTCGAAACATCAACCTTAGTAGGCGGATAATGTAAATCATCGAACGTGATGCTCGAATAAGTGTTTTTATTTGATACTAGCTGAGTGTGCCCGGTCTTGCTCGGGATTCAATATTAGCTTGAGTTTATGCGCCGATTTAAAACAAAAAGCATGTTATATTGTACGTAGCCCCCCCTCCTATTATCTAAGGGGCTACCCCCTATGATTATCTCCTTATATCCCTACACTCGCCCCCACATGCCTAATTTGGTTCCATTTGCTTGATTAGTTCTCGAGTTATGCAGAAATTTCTGTTTCATTTGTATGGGAGCCCCTCCTTACAGAAGGGGGAGGGGTCTCGAACCATCATAAGAACCTTCCACCGCCCCAAAAACCCCTGTATACAAATTTTCACGCCAATCGGTTCTGTAGTTTCCGAGTCTATAAGGGTCAGACAGACAGACAGACAGAAATTCATTTTTATGTATATAGATTTATAATAATGCCAAAACTGGGTGTTACGAATTGCTGAAACAAGAATTTAATCAAACTTTATAAGAGTCATGTGAGCTTTATGGGCAGGTGCACTCCCAAAACCATGTCTACGTTATTTGTGGAGCAGAGAAGGAGGAGCCAATAGTTCATTTGACAGCATGTATATACGATTTCGTGAGCTGTTTCAGCAAAACAATTTGAAGCTTCGATAGATTTTCAAGATGTTTTCTTGCTCACTTGAAAAAATAAATCGACAGAGTTCGCAATACTAACCAAAGAATCACAACGGACAGTTCCGAAAACGATAATGCAATTATCATTTTTGTTACACATGATGATCAAATCCAATAGCGATAATCTCCGATCATCATCATCAACTGTCGTCACTGACGATTCCTCATGTCAGGGGAGAATATATGCTAAGCTTGGGATTCCGGCCAATTAGAAAGTAGCTGTCTTCGGCAAAGTTGTTCAGATAATCAAAGCTTTTCGTATCGTGAGGAGATTATTTTAGATCTATTCCACGCGCTAGAGTGCATACAGTCAACTTGTCATAACTCGATATTGAAGGGACCATCGAGTTGTAGGATTATCAACTTATAAACTATTTTTTTAAGGCGAATATATATTACTCCTAGAGATGAACTAGCCTATGGCTAAAAATCTCTCAAATAAAGGAAAAAAATATATTACTCCATTTATTGTAATTTATGAATTTGAAAATAATTGATAAATCCATTAACAAAATATCTGGAATCGGAATCTGCAGTCAATATGAACAAAGGCTCATAATAACACTCCCAAATATTGAAAATTGTTAGGGTGCATGAAATATTTCGGCCATTTATCTTAAGAACACCTAAAACAATGTCGGACCTGTCTGCAATCAGCGTTTCTTAAACTATGGGTTGCAATCCACTGTACTTGGCGAAAGGAAATAACAAATGCAGTTCAAAACACGAAATAATTATAACTTCAATTCCCCTTTGCATCATCACTTAACTCTAAATTATTCTAAAACAAACCAGACCAATTTTCCAAATGCTTTAAAAATTAATTAAGGCTGCACACTTAGATAAATTCAAGTAAATTTAGGTGCTCTGAGACTGAGCATCAAGTTTTGACTAAAATTGAGTCATAACAGACGCCAAGTTCGGCTACTAACGTACTTTTCGTATAGTAACGAACTTTTCAGTCTCGGAGCACTTAATTGTACATGACATGCTTGTTTACGTCTCATCTTTAAGGTTAAAGATGGATTCCGTCACGTGTGAAATTAGTTCTTTCAGAGTGTGTTATAGATTCAGATCGTGCACTTTTCCATTGATAAAACAAGAATGATGGATGGAAAGCGCATTCGTTCGCGTAAACTGGGACAATACTGCACCCATTTCTGGAGCCAATGTGCCGCATTTTCAATTATACTTTCGATTTGCATTTAAGTTTGCATTTTGACTCTGCAGAGTAAGGCGAAGATGGAAACACTAACAGCCTGACTCGAACTCAGTCAATATGCTATATACATGCGTACCTATATGAGCAATTGCCGCATTTCTATACTCAACATAAATCGTCCTAAAACCGGCAGAGTACATCTCCTGCTTTACGGGTGGTTATGTGTACGACGGTTTTAGCTCCGTGTGCAGCAGCAGAACTTTATCAATTTGCAGTTTGATGCAGTAGTTGGAACAGTTCCAACAAACTGGACCAGTCAGATGCATTTTGAATGCAAATAAGTGATTGGTTGCTGCTGCTGCATGTTCTATATGTTTATAGTTTTGGTGCGTTGCAGATTGCGTCATCGATATAGTTCGCACGCCGATACATGATCAAATGCTATTTAATGTCTCAGTCGTTGGCCTGTATGCCAATTAAGATGTCAAGAACTTTTCCAATTTCGTCACTCATAGCTTTCAACATTTGAATTTCTCCCATTTCAGACATCGCTATAATGGACAATCTGCGTAATCTGTTCGGTCAGGTATCGACGCTGGCTTCCTCGAAGACAAATTCCACGGCGAGTGCCACCCGTTCATCTGGCAGTGCTGGATCACACAATGCCGGGTTGAACCTGCCGGGCGAGCGGCAACGGTCGATCAGCGGGGACTTTTCCAGCTTGGAAACCCACCAGAACCGGACCATGAAACAGCACAAAGCGGCCGACCGGGACAGCTACTACTACATCATGTAAGTAGACGAGGGCATATATTATTTGTATAAACGAGTCTTGACCCATAAACCACGAGATGGAAGATGCTATCATCGTATTTTATTACACGACTCGGGCCCAGCCTACACTATAGAGTCGTTAGTAATGGGCACGACGCGTCGTGATACGGTTGATTAGGTTTGAGTTCTTATTATTCCGACGTTCGTTGTTCGGTGCCTTTTTGCCTCAGCGGCGCTCGATGAAGCGTGGTGACTATACGAATGGAGCCATTCTCGCCCGACGAGTATGCAAACGGATTAGCACCTCGTAAAAACTTCTAGGCGTATCCCGTCTGTTTGTCTCTTTTTGTGCGAGCTTCGAAGGCACATGATGGTGACAGAAAAGTGTTGAATAAGTTAGCCACCACACCATGTCGCTTCAGATGGATAGATCCTGCACAGTAAAAGGATTTCGGAAGTTTATGGGTAATTAACTTTGAAACATCGACCACTTGCTTCTGCAGCTTATAACTAATAGTTTTATTATGCCTATGAGCTCATTTTTCAATGTGATAATTAAAGGATCAGCGTGCCGTCCAATCCATGGAAGTATAAAACAATTTATTTTCATAATGTCAGAAACGCACTCTGTAAAATGGTGTCAATAGAACGAGATTAATTCGCCATCAGCAGCGTGTCTGCGAGGCAAAATGTACGTTGCCCATTTGTCACTGCACTTGACCCGTTAGTCATTGCTGCCATTTGTATAAACATGCATGATGTATATCAACTGTAAATGGACACATTTGCATATACGGCTACCGAAGGCGGACAGTGGAAGGCTATTGGGTTAATGAATTATGATCCAGTTTGAATTTAATCTCACTTTAACATGTGTACGATGGGTGTTTGTTGTCATGGGGTGGCGTTGGAAAGCTTTTGTTTATCGGCACTATGTTATTCATTGTGAAAATTGGGGGAAAATTGATGGCGTAGCAAATGTGCTCACATGGTGATAAGGCAATGGATAAACTGCCTTTATGTAATCAGAATGCATTGCAGCGAATTATTACATAGTAGAATATATGTTTGAAACTCATTTATTTAATTGATTGATTTTAATTTTATGATGGTTGCATAAATGACGGTTTCGCGAAAATCGTTTGGACCAATAATCCCAATTATTAATATCATCTATCGGCCAATTGTCTCGGCACCAGTATGTGTTATCTCGAGAGCCTGATCATCTAGGAAGTTGTCGTCTTCAGTAAAGTTGTTTGAATCAGTGCTACAAAATATCGACAATATACTGCGATATTCAAAATTTCGCTTTGGTCATTCATTTGAGCTATCAGTCATCGTCAAGGCAAATGTCAGTAACAATGCTGTCAGTCAGGAACATGTGCAGATTTTTATATTGGCTAAATCTTTCAGTGACAATGACAAATCACAGCACTTGTTCGAATGTCTACGGCTTTCCCGATTATAGACATATAAGTTCAAAATGTTTTCACTACGTGCCGTTAATGTACACGTAAACATTCTGAGGATAACCCGTTCTGACGATACCCATATTGTAAGTTATTTGAAACGTTTTTGGATACAGGAAATCACTGTCTTGAAACCCAACATTACATTGGACACATTTTTGCGGCCTCCACTCATCATCCCCATACTGTCAAGTAAAGAATATTTATATACACTCGAGCGCCACGCAGTGAAAAAAAATTGAACTTATCTGTTTTGCATTCAAAAAGTTTGTTTACCAATAAAACAATCTGTATGTCATCTGGAAGGCCTGGATTATGGAATCTCGAGATATACACTCATATTCTTGTTTTAGTTCAAACCGTATTTTCCATACATTTTTTTTTTATTTTTTAATTGGAAACACTGTAGCCTATACAGGCAATTTTTATACGCACTAGTGCCAACAACCAATACGAAACTATCGATTTTAAATTGGTTCACTACTTGACTAGCCTATTGGTCCCAAGCAAATCGATTAACGTGCCCTATTCTAGTCGAAATTCTAGTACTACACAATGTTTGTTTTGATTCGCTATGAAAGTTTGATAGATAAAATGAGGGGTGGGTTAGTGGATTTTCCTATGTTTCGAGGGGTGAATCGATTAGCTTGGGACCGAAGATAGTACCAGAGCTGAGCCAAAAAGTTGAGAACGTTTCTTCGGGATCTACTAGTCTTAGAGTTACCTCTATGCTAGTGCTGCGTAGTGAGAACATTGTGAACCAATTCATCTCCCCCCAGATTGTCGGAAGAACTACTGATGTTAAAAAAAAAGAAAAACTGCTGATGTTATAAAAAAGTGATCCATGAAAATGTAGTCTCAGCACTAAAAATGAAAAGAACAATGTCCTTCGAAAGAGCTGCTTAGCTATTAAATGGATTATAACTTCGGCCTTCATAATGACCCATTTGGCCTGACGTACTCCGGCCTATCGTACTTCGGCCTAATTTATTTCGGCCTAAAGTCTTGACAACCCAAAAACTGTAACTGGGTAACAAGATTGAATTTTGGAAAATGGAAAATTGCAGTATGAAGTTCATTTAGAAACCTTGAACCTGAAAAAAAAACTTTGGGATCTGTCTTGAACTCGGATGTAATTACCGGAAAAAATTACAATATTAATTAATTAATTTATCTTTATTAGGGAGGCTTTCAGCCTTGGGCTGGTTCGCCTCCAACGAATTACAATATAATTTCGATCAGAATTCGCATAATTCAAATGTTATTCCGAATAGATTTTTTTTTTTTCTTTATTTTTGTGATTTTTAGCCGTAGGCTAGTTCCGAATTCCGAATAGAACTTCAAGGGAATCCTGAAAAGTATTCTTAAGGAATTCCGAGGAGACTAGGAAGTAGTTCTCAATAGAAATTCAAATACTTTGTGAGGATTGATTGTTAATTTAAACGTGTGAGTAGAATTACATAATAATGCTCAAGAGAATTCAAAGGGGATGTACACGAGAATTCCAAAGAATCTCTGAGAAGTTCACAAAGATAATTCAAGGGATATTTAAAATATCCAAAACTCCACAACTCCAAGTAAATTCTGACAAGCGTTTCAAATCAAAGCTGACAAGAACTGCCAAGGAATTCAGATTTAAATTTCAAGAGAACTGTGATTCAAAAGGAATCTGAATCTTAAGTTGATTAGCTTCCAAAGGAATCCTAGGTAGGATTTAATATTTTCGACAGCGCCTAGATAGGCTATACATCACAATATAGGTTGTAGTGTGAACGGGATATAACTCACCACGAATTTATTCGTGCATTACCTAGAGTCTTAGACAGTTTTTGTTTCATGATAAATCGTCAAGTTAAAGAAAAAGGAAATACTCTATAGATCGATATTAAAAAATTTTTATTCTGAAATTTTGCATAGATTTGGTTAAATTGTGCTTTTAACTAAGGGTGGCCATCTTACCCCGTCCTCTGCTTACTTTGTTTCCGTTTACTTTTGTTTTATTTACCAGCAAACAAAAATGCATCGTGCAATTGAGTATCCATACCATTATTGGCCATATCCGGACATGTTCCGAGCGACCCCAGGAATGTAGTTGGATTCTGACTTGAGCCAGAATCTATCGTCTTCATTCGAAATCATTGGCGATCGCATTGAGCTACCAGGATAACTTGGTTATGTTTTTAAAATTTTGTACATATTTTATCTGAATCTATAATTGGGGCACATCACAGGTAACCAATAAGGTAAATAAGTGGCCCTTCCTGCCTCATACGGCCTCATCAGAACATGCAAACACGCGTATAAGCCTTGTTCAGCTGTATGTAGCCAAATAAAGGAAAAAACGATTACTTGGGATCCATAATGCCATATTTGGGAGTAATGGATTACTTCAGCGAATTGATGGTTTTTTTGTGATTTCAGAGCTTTTATTTCATGACCAATCGCAGAACTGTTCAAACAATTTTGGTAATTTCTGAATTTGGAAATTTTATCCGTACTCTATTTTTGTGTGTACTTTCTTCGCGTGGGGGAGGCGTCTTGATTGCGGTATCCAAACGCCTAAGCTCCTGCATCGATCTTGCTCCAGTTTGCACTTCTCTAGAGCAGCTGTGGGTCAAAATAACGACGCCGCGTAGATCAATAAGTATTGGCGCTATGTATCTACCTCCAGACCGGAAATCTGATTCGAGCAGCATTGCAAACCACATCAGTTCGATTGGTACCGTGTTCTCTCGACTAGAACAAAACGACCTAGCTCTGGTATTTGGTGACTACAATTAGTCTGGGCTCTCATGGAACGTTCCTGCAAACGATCTTCCTAGCAATGATGTTCTTCGCTCGAACATGCCCGCATCCTGCTGTGCTCTCCTTGATGGTTTCAACCTGCATGGCTTACACAAATCAACTCGATACTTAATAGCAACTCTCGGCTGCTTGATCTCGTTCTGGCGAACGAAGCTGCAGGACTGGAATATTCTATTCTAGAAGCCCCAGAGCCTTTGATTGGCATCGACACCAATGATCCTGCGTTGGAAGTTTCCATCAACCTATCTGTTCCTGTTTGCTACGATAACCCCCCTGTTGATGTACATGAGCTCGACTTTCGTAGAGCAGATTTCGTCGCGCTGAGTCACTCGCTTGCCCAGGCAGATTGGCAGTTCCTTGACACGTGTTCATCTATTGATGAAGCCGTCAACTACTTCGCTGAGGTCGTTGACCGGGCAATAACTGATTCTGTCCCATTGAGGAGACCCTCTACCAAACTCACATGGTCCAATGCACGACTACGGAATTTGAAGCGTCTGAGATCGAAGGCCCTCCGTAAATATTGTCGTACTCGTAACCCATTCACCAAACGATTATTTTCAACAGCGAGCAACGAATATCGCACATATAACCGTATTCTCTACAAGAGCTACACAAGGCGTATGTAGGCTAATTTACGGCTTAATCCAAAGCAGTTCTGGTCATTCGTAAATACCAAACAAAACGAGGAGGGGCTACCAGTCGAAATTCACCTGGGTGATAGAATCGCCAGCAATTTCCTTG